ATATTATAAGACAATTCATTCAAATTCACATTACAAGTTATTGGAGCTCAGGCCTGGAGCTATGGCCTTCTCATTTACCTCAGCATGAGCATAACAACTGAGAACTGCTTACAGTCACTGGGATGCAAACAAAAATGACTGTGATGTGCCCATTGCCAATCCATACTTGCATTGCTACCAGAATGCAATGGTACTAAGACCTATCTTTGCTGATTGTTTATTTCTTCATTTATTACTTCCAGGAAAAACTAACATGAGCAGAAGCTCATCAAGACATGGAGGTTGGAACTTGCTGTCAATATAAGACATATCAGGAGATCTGAATTAGAAAACACATAAAAGATGTTGGTGAGGGTATAATAATGACGAATTAGAAAAGATGCCATCACAATAAACAGAAACAATAGGATTACAAATTAATTACCTTTGAAAATTTAAAGTGGAGAAATTAAACCTTGCAAAAAGACATAGAGAGCCAGTCATGGTTCAGGGCAGCATGCCAAGTTAATGAAAGATGACAATAGGCCACTCATTTGAAAAAAGCGTACAATGCAGGCAATGTGTTGACAAGCCCTTCACCATCATTGGAATATCAGAGTCAAGCATCTCCTCAGAGAGCATCCAAAAAAAAATCACTATTTTCTGGAGCAATCGATGACCATCATGCAGTAGATGATGCCAAGCCCACTAATTGCAAAGACAGAAGCTTCTTTGAAGTTTTTCCTAGAGTAACTCAGCATCTTAGAAGCACTAGGCGTTTACTTAATTTCTAAACTCACCATTAGTGATACCAAGATCACCCCAAACAAAAGTATGCATTGTTAACTGCAGAAATTACTTGCTATCATGGGGTGCAAAGAATACTTCCCTGGATGAGGAAATATGATAATGACCCTGACTCAGCTGAGTAAAACAGACCATAGCTTGTCTGAATATGAGATGATGCTTTGAGGCTGTGAATTACTCTGAAATACAAATATCATTGTCAAAGCCTTTCAGGTTTGTATTTCTAAACCATCTGAGTCTTGAATTTGGAAAAGGAAAAATTCATTGATGTGATTCACATTCTCCCAGTTCCCTTTACCCTGCTGATGTTTCTCTTGTTGTATGGTAATATTTCTCTTTCACCATTCACTTGCTAAAACACCATTGTTGATCGTGAATCCTTGACAATAGTAAAAAAAAATACTTTCATGTGACTGTCCCTCAGGCTGTTATAATTCATTACTGAATCAATGCAATATACAATGCTCTGAATGGATAACAGGAAATTCTCTAATTCAATAAAGAACCAGTTATTACAACAATATCACAATGCATAAATCATACAACCATTCCATTATAGACCATTCCTCCCAAATTCTTCAAAACCTTAAATTTTTTCCAGTTACTCCATCTTATCTGTACAATTTTCATTCCATACAATTCTCATACCAGACTACCTGTTACTCCCCAAGACAAAACCAGCTCAAACTAAGGTTTCAACTCAAGATTACTTGAATCATTAACAAAATAAATGATACCAACATCATCAGCAATGAGTTATTGTTCCTTTTTCCAATACCACACCCCGTATTATTGTGACCGGTCCACTAGGCTTCTTGTTTGGTCAGAGTTTTAGCCTGTCTGTCGGGCCGGAGGAGAATAGCAGAACACAATGGTTTCAAGCATAACGCCGTCTGATATAATAGGACTAGAGTACAACATAATGCAGACCTAGGCCTAAGCCTGATCTAAACATATGCACCGTACGCTACCCAAGAGTAGCCACTGCGGTTGTGACTGCAGACAAAACCTTCTCACGCGTACGTAGATATCAGAGTTTTACATTCCATCGTCGAAGGCATGGTCGCATGACGCATTGTATGGAAAACGGTTCCAGAGAGCAGCAGTGTTGCCGTTCTCAGAGCAGCAAAACCAGTCCGGAGCTAGAAAGGCACTAAAAGAATTCCACGTAAATCTCATTCCATCAAAATGTTTGCCACCGAGTCCTACACCTTCATATAAACAAATAAATCATAGGATTGTTGGTTTCTCGCGAGTTGATAATCGTGCCCTGACATCGAGCAGCACTGATCCCATGCAGGTCGACCAGCGGGATCGGGGTCAGAGAGGGTCATTAGTGCTGGATTCGTGATTGATCATTCCAACGCTATTGTTTCCCGTGGTCTCCATCGGTGATTATATACGGGGTGCCACATAATGACTTTCAAAGCGCGTCGTCTTTTTTTTTTTTTAATCTTCATTCACCAGTTCCTCGTTGCGGAGTTGGTTCCACGAAACGAATTTCCTAGGCCGTGCCAAATGATTCTTCATTAAAGTGATGGAAAGCCTCGCGAGTTGCAGAATAATTTATTGCATTACACCTGCTCGTGTGTCGACAGCTGCTCGAATCTGTTGGCTAAATGCTTTCAATGGCTTTTCCCTTTTACCCAATGGCTTTTAGTCTCAAATCAGGGCACATTCAAGGATCCTTCTTGGGATACTGCAAGGAATCCAGGACATTTGTGTAAATAATAAAAGCCTTTGCAAAAAAAAAAAAAATGGGCGGGGAACACTCTATCAAACGTGACGAAAAAGAGCGGAAAAGCCAAAGTCGGCACTGATCCAAGGTCGGCGTCCTCTGCGTCCATAAATGCAGGAATGAAGCCGACCCGGACGACCAAGCCCATGAGGGCGGGGGCAGGGGGCGGGGGGGGCTGGGGGGGCAGAGGGGCAACTCAATGCTGGCAGATTCCCCTTGCACCACATTTGTCGATTGGTGTCAATCGGCTGAATTGAATCTACGTTTTAATTTTCTCTCTCAGGTTTATTAGTTTTTGATTTTTTATTTTAATTTCAATTTTATAATTATAATAATAATAATTTTTTTTTTTAGTAGGAAGCAGAAGAGAGGCGAAAGTCGGCTTGTCTCCCCCAGGCGGTCTGCCCGCTCCTCTCATCACGATTAAAGCTCTCGTGAGAAGGAGGAGGATGCACATGCGATTTTTTTTTTTTTTTTTTGGGGGGGGGGGGGGGGGGCGGCGGCTCTTTGTTTTTTTTTTTTTTTTTTTTTTTTTTTTGGGGGGGGGGGGGGGGAATCGCGTGTTATTAGTTGCTTTTCGCGCCGGCCGTTACGGATCTGGGACGTTTTTCCCACGAGGGGGATCGTTTTCCCACGGTTCCTCCGTTCGCGGGGAAAACCGAGGAAAGGGGGGCTCCGGGTCGACGGCGACATTCCGATGTCGGCGCGGACCGGATTGACCGGTCGGGGAGAGGTGTCGGCCCGGACGAGAATCGCTCCCGCGGACACCTCTATCGCAGGTTGGAGTCTCGGGATGTGGGACTGACTGTATGGTTCGGGAGTTCTCGTACCGGTGTTGGTAAGTATACTGTATGTAAAATATATATATGTAAAGAGAATGCAAAAAAAAAAACAGATTAGATTTTGAATTTCTACTGCTGGAAGCAGGGCCGGAATAAAGGAGGGGGCAAAGGGGGCTGTTGCCCCGGGCCCCACTCTTCCAGGGGGCCCCCTGAACGAAATTTAAAACGTCGAGTACCGGTATTTGCCTAAAGTGTGTGTGTGTGTGTGTGGGGGGGGGGAGCGGGGGAAAGCCGTAAGAATCCACTTGCTCTAAGCCTCGCAACTTCTTAATCTTGCGCTGGTTGGAAGGGATCAATTTCCAACCTTTATCTTTTTTTTTTCTCAATTCCCCATACAATATTCTTTTAGGGATACAAAAGTGAGTAATTGATTCCATCTCCCTCTGAATTAATAAGAGCCAAACATCGCTCTTTGAGTCCATGCAATCAAATGACACTCCAGAGCCGGCCCTACCTATTTTGGTGCTCTGTGCAAAGAAACTCCCAACGCGCCCCTCCTCCTCCTCCCTCCCCCTCCCCCCCGCCCGGAGGGAAAAGGGTGAATCCCTGACGTCCAGAATGACGGCGAAGTGGAAGGCATTTTCTGCATTGAAACTGAGGGTGGCATCCATTATTCACATTGTCACGTTTTGGCGCTCCTGGTGAATTTGCGCCCACTTGTGGCACATTTACTTCAGGCCGGTCCTGGACACGTCTATTCGTTGCCAATTCTGCCTCCGTTTCTCCACGCGTCGCTGAAGAAGTTTTCGGTTGGGGTTTTTTATTTATTTTTATTTTATTTACATAAGGACTGTTTGGTGAGAAGTCGATCGCTTCGGGAAGATGCTGTTCCTTAATAGTTTCCCGACCCGACTTGTGCGCTTCGGATCGTCCAAACTGTCTTCTTGCACCAGGAAGTACATGCTTTTGGAAGAAATTTGAGCGCCGGCCTTCTGAACGAATGGCACGATGCCGTCGTCTTCTGCCTGTTTTTGGGGAAATTCTCCCGAGCCGTTTCGAAATTGAGCATGGCGACGGACTCTGTTCCTTCGGCGATGTCCCGAAAATTTAGTCCGCCGGTACTTCCTTGTTCTTCCACGGTACTCTCTCCTCTATGATCTTAACTATATTATGCACCGACAGAACCGACGACTCAACGACACTTTCTAAAGTTGTCGCACTCATTGCTATGTATAACCTCTCGACCTTCGAAAAAATTTTGGGAAAATAAAACTTCGAGGGATATACTTCTGGAATGTTCATGTGTTTACCGGAAATTTTTTTTTTTTTTTTTACTCCACTGTATAAATGTGAAAGGGATCATGATAATGTCAGCCACCAAATACCAGGTTGCATAAAAAATTATTCATCCAAGGGGGTAAGCTCATACAAGTAAAAATTCAACCTCAATGTGTCGATGCAGCAACGGTGGCAAGATTGCATTACTACGATATTCAAGTCAAAACATAACTGAAAAAAGCTTGAATTGACACACCCGAGATGGTGTTACCCTTTCGTGAATAAAGAAAGTACGTTGTTTGCCATTCGAATGTGGAATCTTTAAAGTAGTCGTGCTCCCGAATTCCGGAAGCCCCTGTTTGTCATACGGAACTTGTCGGACTTCCACTCATGCTTCACCTTGGAAAACAAGAAATCTTTGTAACTGTATCATCTAGGGTTTGGATTGGAGAGGCAACACATTTGATACCACAATCTGGGCTTTATTGTTGTACTGAGACCATCATCACCAGGACATTTTCCTTCAAATGATGCAATCTCTCCAATCGATTCGGACTTCATTCACGCCTCTGAAAACACTCGGCGGCCATTCTTCCACACAACCGGGCATCACGCGTTGGGGAGCGACCCGTTGACGTGGACGCTGCCCGAGCCGAGCATGCACTGACGGATGAACTGCAGACAGGCGTGCAGGGAGCAGTCGGGCGGGGCGACGCACGTCTGCAGGGTGGTCATGACGCCGATGAAGAGTTCCAAGGCTTCGTCCACTTTCTGCAGGGCCATGAGGCCCTGGGCGCGTCTGATCGTCTTGTACGTCTCGTCCAGCGTGTCGATCACCTGAAGCCTCTTCATCTTTTTCCCGCACTTATCGCACTTCACCCAGATCTTCCCCGAGTTCATCTAGGGGTGGAGAAAGGAAATGAGTTCACTGAAACATCTCATTTCAAGCCACCTTAATGCATGTGTTCAGTAATACCTTACCAACAGCATAATATTTATTAGAAAAAATCATAAAATAAAACTGGAAAATAAAAAATTGACAGAAAACTTTTAAATATATCTTTTCTTGGCATTGTCAGTGCAACGCAAAATCTCTAAGTGAGACACTGAAGTTACATCATTCATCTCCATCGATACACGGTGTTCGTCGTTGGTAATGATATTGAGAGTACTCTTCCTCTTTGTCCGTAGGAACCAATTAGTTATTTAAAGAAGATCGTCATTTCCCCACTTCTACGGGTTGGTCGAGAGTTGCAAGAGCTCTGTTCAAATTTCTGCAAATCTGAACAAGGAAACTTCATGCTATTGTGAAATACAAGGACAGGTTGGACTTCTTAGAAACAAGGTACTCATAATCACAAATTCATTTTGGTTGGTGAGTTCCAGGCAATGACTCATCCAAACATACATTCTTCCTGAATGTGTGCAATGAATTATTTATATGCGGATTGGATTACAAATAAATGTGGAAGAACTATTTGATGTAGACAATGCCCAAGTGGGGAATTAAAAACTCAAAGGCAGAAGACAAAAATATCACCATCTCATCACATCCGACTTCCTATTTTGGCCGTATGGGCAACAGAATAAACTCTAATTTACCTCAATGTAAAAATCCAATTCTCCCATTAATCTGGATAAGAGGACTGGTCCTGACAAAAATACAATAAAATATATATTAAAATTTTTTCCCCAGTTAATTCGAAGGCCATCCTCACATAGCTCCTGCTTAATATTACTTAATGCTCTAATGTTGCAACTAAAAACCAAAATTTGTTTTTAGTTGCAACATTAAGCAATAGGAGCACACTACTTACCAGTTGTACCAAATGTGCTTAACAGGGTTTATAAAACATGTGGGGGGGGGGGGGGGGGGGGGGGGGGCGGGGGAAAGCCGTAAGAATCCACTTGCTCTGGGCCTCGCAACTTCTTAATCCTGCGCTGGTTGGAAGGGATCAATTTCCAACCTTTATCTTTTTTTTTTTTCTCAATTCCCCATACAATATTCTTTTAGGAATACAAAAGTGAGTAATTGATTCCATCTCCCTCTGAATTAATAAGAGCCAAACATCGCTCTTTCAGTCCATGCAATCAAATGACACGTCCAGAGCCGGCCCTACCTATTTTGGTGCTCTGTGCAAAGAAACTCCCAACGCGCCCCTCCTCCTCCTCCTCCCCTCTCCCTCCTCCTCCTCCTCCTCCCCTCCCCCTCCCCCCCGCTCGGAGGGAAAAGGGTGAATCCCTGACGTCCAGAATGACGGCGAAGTGGAAGGCATTTCCACTTTCTGCATTGAAACTGAGGGTGGCATCCATTATTCCTTCCTACATTGTCACGTTTTGGCGCTCCTGGTGAATTTGCGCCCACTTGTGGCACATTAGCTTCAGGCCGGTCCTGGACACGTCTATTCGTTGCCAATTCTTCAAGATTGCCAATTCGGCCTCCGTTTCTCCACGCGTCGCTGAAGAAGTTTTCGGTTGGGGTTTTTTTTTTTTTATATAAGGACTGTTTGGTGAGAAGTCGATCGCTTCGGGAAGATGCTGTTCCTTAATATTGTTTCCCGACCCGACTTGTGCGCTTCGGATCGTCCAGACTGTCTTCTTGCACCAGGAAGTACATGCTTTTGGAAGAAATTTGAGCGCCGGCCTTCTGAACGAATGGCACGATGCCGTCGTCTTCTGCCTGTTTTTTTGGGGAAATTCTCCCGAGCCGTTTCGAAATTGAGCAAGGCGACGGACTCGGTTCCTTCGGCGATGTCCCGAAAATTTAGTCCGCCGGTACTTCCTCGTTCTTCCACGGTACTCTCTCCTCTTTGATCTTAACTATATTATGCACCGACAGAACCGACGACTCAACGACACTTTCCAAAGTTGTCGCACTCATTGCTATGTATAACCTCTCGACCTTCGAAAAAATTTTGGGAAAATAAAACTTCGAGGGATATACTTCTGGAATGTTCATGCGTTTACCGGAAATTTTTTTTTTTTTTTACTCCACTGTATAAATGTGAAAGGGATCATGATAATGTCAGCCACCAAATACCAGGTTGCATAAAAATTATTCATCCAAGGGGGTAAGCTCATACAAGTAAAAATTCAACCTCAATGTGTCGATGCAGCAACGGTGGCAAGATTGGATTACTACGATATTCAAGTCAAAACATAACTGAAAAAAAGCATGAATTGACACACTGCTCTACCACAATGGGAAAGCACTTATTTCTTTCATGCAACAAACGGTAAGCTTACACCTTAGAAATTTCATCAGCACGAGGGCTTAAGGCCTTCGGGGACAAACAGTATGCCTTGAACAGCCTGAACCACTCATGCTTCACCTTGGAAAACAAGAAATCTTCGTAACTGTATCATCTAGGGTTTGGATTGGAGAGGCAACACATTTGATACCACAATCTGGGTTTTATTGTTGTACTGAGACCATCATCACCAGGACATTTTCCTTAATGATGCAATCTCTCCAATCGATTCGGACTTCATTCACGCCTCTGAAAACACTCGGCGGCCATTCTTCCACACAACCGGGCATCACGCGCTGGGGAGCGACCCGTTGACGTGGACGCTGCCCGAGCCGAGCATGCACTGACGGATGAACTGCAGACAGGCGTGCAGGGAGCAGTCGGGCGGGGCGACGCACGTCTGCAGGGTGGTCATGACGCCGATGAAGAGTTCCAAGGCTTCGTCCACTTTCTGCAGGGCCATGAGGCCCTGGGCGCGTCTGATCGTCTTGTACGTCTCGTCCAGCGTGTCGATCACCTGAAGCCTCTTCATCTTTTTCCCGCACTTATCGCACTTCACCCAGATCTTCCCCGAGTTCATCTAGGGGTGGAGAAAGGAAATGAGTTCACTGAAACATCTCATTTCAAGCCACCTTAATGCATGTGTTCAGTAATACCTTACCAACAGCATAATATTTATTAGAAAAAATCATAAAATAAAACTGGAAAATAAAAAATTGACAGAAAACTTTTAAATATATCTTCTCTTGGCATTGTCAGTGCAACGCAAAATCTCTAAGTGAGACACTGAAGTTACATCATTCAAGAGGTAGCTATGTGCCACAAGCAGCAACCATTACTATAACTCTCATGAGAAGGAGAAACAGGCATCCTTGGTTAATCAATAAATTTCTTCTAGCAGTAAAGGGGTGAAGATGCCCAACCAGCTCTCATGCAAGAGCTCTGTTCAAATTTCTGCAAATCTGAATAAGGAAACTTCATGCTATTGTGAAATACAAGGACAGGTTGGACTTCTTAGAAACAGGGTACTCATAATCACAAATTCATTTTGGTTGGTGAGTTCCAGGCAATGACTCAGCCAAACATACATTCTTCCTGAATGTGTGCAATGAATTATTTATATGCGGATTGGATTACAAATAAATGTGGAAGAACTATCTGATGTAGACAATGCCCAAGTAGGGAATTAAAAACTCAAAGGCAGAAGATAAAAATATCACCATCTCATCACATCTGACTTCCTATTTTGGCCGTATGGGCAACAGAATAAACTCTAATTTACCTCAATGTAAAAATCCAATTCTCCCATTAATCTGGAAAAGAGGACTGGTCCTGACAAAAATACAATAAAATAAATATTAAAATTTTTTCCCCAGTTAATTCGAAGGCCATCATCACATAGCTCCTGTGTAATATTACTTAATGCTCTAATGTTGCAACTAAAAACCAAAATTTGTTTTTAGTTGCAACATTAAGCAATAGGAGCACACTACTTACCAGTTGTACCAAATGTGCTTAACAGGGTTTATAAAACATGTAAGTTGAATGAAAATCCAATGGGGAAACCGGTCATTACTAAATGCTTGCTGATATTCATACCTTGTCCATGAGGACGGCATGGCACTTTGAGCACTGGAGGCAGACATCAGAGGTGTCCATTTCAGAGAACGTGGGCCAGTGCTCCACACATGGTCGGCACTCACAATTGAACCAGTGGCTTGACCATATCATCTCCTGCCTTTCCGTTCTTCCCTTCTCAAAGAACACAGGCCCATAGTTGTCATACACACCCTCGCCCACCTTGACATTCTTCAGACTCCTCAACACGATCTCATCTCCCACAAAATATCTGCAAAGAACACTATCCTCTATCACATACTTCTTGAACAATTGCAAGAATAATTGGTCTAATCCCACCTGGCAAGAAAGGGTTCACATGAATGATTGAAGAGGCACACGGTCGGATAGAGCGCAGTGCCAACTGCAAAGCCTTCTCCTTCATACTGTCCCTCTCCCTTCACATTGTACTCTATTACTTCATGAGCATTGAACTGCACTACCTGCAGATTTCTCAGCAACAGAGTTCCTACCAGAACCTCATCAGAACTTAGTTCTGCTCTGTTGCACCTCTCTCCCTCCTCTGAAACGGACATCACATCTTAACACTCAATTCTTTGATCGATCAATCCAACAAAGCCAATTCGCACAGTACCATGCCGTGAGAAGAATGAGGAATGCTGGAGGCACTTGAGGAGGAAGAGAGACATGACTGTCTTGCAGAAGAAATCATGTATGGATCTCCTTGTGGCATGAGAGACAAGGTTGTACACACTCATGTAGTCTCTCGGGTCGTAGACCCTCGTCTTGGGATCCGACCAGAGTGCGCTCTCATCTGGCTTATCCCGCTGACCTGTTACAAACAACCAAAACTTCAATTGACCAGTTCATACATATAAATGGACTGCAATGGGTTTCACTTTTAACCTTTGATTTTGGGTAAGATATCATCAGTGAAGTACTTTAGTCCGGCCTTGGTGAGGATCCGAAGAGCCAGGTACCAAGGGTCACTTATTCCTGAGTCAAATAGGAGATCATGGATGGGGCATTCATATTTATGGAAGGAGGAGAGGGCTGCATCTCGGCATTTCATGGAACAAAACGCTGCACTGCAGCAGGTGGGACAAGGCACTGGTGCCAGGAATCTGTTGGTGGAATTGAAATAAAATTAACCATTCAGTATAAAAACTTCATGCTTATAACATGAATGTATAGAAAAACCATATCTAGGGTAATAGTTATAAGTCCAAATCTGATTGGGTTTTTGCTGTATAGCATGGCAACTTTGTAAAGTCCTTGCAGGATGAAATTCAACCACCTCCAAGGAAAACAGGAAACAAACTGGAAAAGTCCAGTCCAGTAACAAGACACCCTTTGAGTGAAAATTGTACTGTCATAGATGACAAAGCATAATCAATGAGATATGGTCTATGAGGACGGGCAGAAGGAGAAGCAATGCATGCATGGAAATGTATCAAAACTCTCTCTGTGGCTATGTATTGAATGGTGTTTGCCTGTGGTTAAGCATTAAGGCAACTTAATGGGTCAGGTGGTAGTTCTCAATCCCATCCACATCTTCACTACATGAGGCTTCAAATAGAATTTATATCTGAAACACTTCCAAAACTAAATGCATGTGGGGATTGATGACATTTGTGAGTCAAGAGAACTGGGTGAACTTTGAACAGTAAAATTCCTAAGAAATGCTTCATCCTGTCAAGCATACACCAGACAGGAGGATAGGATTAGCTCCCACAAAGAGCTAATTCTCTCATTCGAAGAAAGGTCTGCAAATACAATTCCATTAGAAAGACAGTCTGGACTAAGAAGCATAGATACGGTTCCTAATATCTCTATTTTACACACTACTCCACTCATAAATATATCAATTAATGGAATACCATTGCACTACCTCAATGCATGATGAAAAAAATGAAAAAAAGTCATCAGAGTAATGTACAAATTTTAAGAAGTGTTGAAATACAAACTGCTTTCCTCTTTTCAAATTCTGGGTCAAACTCGAAGTCCCTAGCAGCCCCACACTACACTCATGGAACAAAGTTCATGAACACCTGCAGACTTGCCTTTTCCATGAAATCAGGGGAGGACAGGGAGGGAAAGCAGTGAGAACCAATGGAAGAAGTAGAAGAAAAGGACTAACAGATTGATCAATGTCAACATTCACAACCCTGACATTAAGAAATTGAAATGAAAAAAAGTTAACAAATATTAAAAATGTCTATGTATTAAAGGATAGAAAAATACAAAAGAAGTACGGTTCAGAAGTTTCAGTTATTGGAATACTCTGGATAATGGAAATAAATTCACTTGTCCCTGGAGGGCTACAACATGCAGAGTTGACTACTTAATCCAGTACTTTTGAGTACCCATGATAAAACCACTGAAATGGTGTTTCAGTGGTTTTAGCCAGCAACCAAAGCCATTAGAGTCCAATGCCTCAAAGAATGAGACAGTAATGTGCCACAAAGCAGACTCACATTACCTTAAAACCTTTTTTTTTTAATTATCAACTTTTCAGCAAAGGTTTACATGCAAGTAAAAATCCCATCAGTCCAATACCTTCGAAGGCAGACTTGACAAAATTGTTCTCTCTTGTCAGATGAGAGGATGGAGGCATGTGGTGCTTCAACAAGAATGATTTCTCCAATTTTTATGGTTTTTGCTGCCACTGCATGCCGGCCTTGCTCAGGCTCTAGCACAAAATCAAGGTTCTGTGATGCTGATGGATACCTCTCATGCCTCTTACCACTCACATCTGGAACTTCCAATTTCTTCAATTCACCTGCACAGCACATGGGAGGACCTATAATTTAATTCCTTCATGCACAATTCTGATTTTTGCTAAGTCACACCTTCAGCTGCTTGAAGCCTGGTAGAGGTGCAAAAGATGAGCTTCTCTCGGATGCCCTTTTCCCAGTCATTTCGTGCATTCTTCTCTAAATCACTATCATCCAGGGCCTGCCAAACACATTGGTGTAAGTTTAAACAAATAACAAATAATGACATTTTGATTCATGATATAATGATAACCTTGAGTGCAAGTTTGAAGGCAGCAATAGCTTTCTTCTTTCTTCCAAGTTTAACATAGCTAGAGCCACATCTCTCCTGCAGTTTGTAGTGAAGTCTTTTGGGGAAATTGACTTGAAGTGCATGGTAAATATCTGATAGGCAGTGAGTCCATCGTTCTAACTGGAAGAGTACAGCAGATCTGTTTCCCAGGGACAAGGCATAACATTCTGAAAAACAAGAACGAGAAAGAAACAAGCATTACCACCACAATACTGATACACAAATGAGAATTGAGAAGCTGGTAATGAAAAAATTAGCCCCTATAAGAATGAAAAAAAAATTACTACATGTAGCACCTCTACCCCCATGCTTCACACTTCTTGGCTTAACCTGAGTAAGTTCCCATATACTCATAGCTGCTCGATTTTGCATTTTTATAATCCTCTATCCACTCACCTGCTTTCCTACATCTTAAGGAAACCTAGCCATATTGCCACAAATATACCAAGCATGGAGTTCAAGTGGAGCTAAAGGAAAATTTATATTACATTTAGTAACTTGCAAAAAGAATTATGCAAGTCAAGAAATAACTTAAGTCACTTTTATTATCCAAAAAAATGAGGACAGGGTGTACATAACTTTGTAACTTGGTGAACCATAACTTTGGAAGAGAGATATTGGCTTGGTATTACATTGAGATTGAGAGGCAGATATAAATTTACAAAATACAAACAATAAAAATAAAATCACTTGAAATGCTTTGCTAGCAGCACTGTATCACAGTCATGCAGTAAGTCTCTGTTAGTTCAGGTCCACAGTCTAACAATCCCACCTGAATCAGGAGGAGCATGGATGAGGCTCTTTGAATAGAGATGGAGGGCTTTCGCAAAGTCCTTCCCTTGATAGGCCTTGTTTCCCTGCAATCTCCACTTCTCTGCCTCCTCAAGGTCCTTGCTCTTGAAGGATGGCTCGACCTTGATATCCTGCACCAAGCGCCACACATACTTCACCTGCATGAGACAAGTATAAAATAAGCCCATGATCTATATAGCAAATAGGTCTGACTGCGGTTTCCAATCTGGACAAAACATAAAAGGCTAGTATGGAGGGATACATAAGCATACTAGATCAAACCTGTAGCAATGCAAAAATGAGTTAGGCCAAAAGGCAAAATACTATCAGCTTAATAAAGAAAAACCTGAACATTGCCAGACAAATGAAACACAAAGGAATGTTAAATATGGCTATTTGCTCAGCTATGAGTATTGAAACCTGAACTTGAGATCTTTATGATGGCAGCACATACTGCATTATCAAATTTTCAAAAGTGATAGTGTTGACAGTCATTCACAAGTTTCTTGTGGCACCACCATGCTAAGCCACAATGCTTCACCTTTCATTTACAAATACACACTTGCTGCTGTCAGTCTAACACTGGAACAGCATGCTCTCATGAAATTTCCAGTGAAAGAAACAGAGTCTTGAAAGGAGACTTGCAGAGTGGTAAAGTGAAAAAGGCTACCTTATCATTGCAAAGTGCAACTGAGTGGCATTTGCTCCCTCTCAGGAAAAATTGTGGAAGCTGCTTGACCAATTCAATAATGATGAAGTGCCATATACATCAGTTCAAAGACTTCTGAGACAAAGGCATCAAGGCATTCATGAAGAGATTTGGCAAGTACATAGCTGTAGATGGAGATTATGTCAAGAAATTGGATAATGTTCATGCTTTTATCATGTCCTGATATTTTACACAACAAGAAAGTGTAGGGTTCACTGCCCTTGTACGTTGCAAACAGCCCTGAAGTCATGTTCTGTGATTGAATGAAGTAAAGACTACTGTCCTTGTCCAGAATCCTTCCATACACATGATAGTAGTAGTCCATATGGTAATGACAGCAACTTGATGGAGAAAGTATTTAATTCTGTGAAACAAGTAATGAACAAGGCATTTTACATCAGTTTTCATCTCATATGCTCTTGACTCCTTTTCTGGAATTAATAGAAAGCCAAGCGAATCGAGTCATTTGCATATCACACTTCATAATACATGAGATCATTAATACTTATGACTGGATACTTTCATGAAAAGAAAGAATGTGTGAACTCAGTGTTATAAATCATTATTAGCATAGATGTCTGATACTGACAACAGATCTTAACTTTCTTTCTAAAGGAAAATGCATACTATGTGATGGTCAGAGAAGTTTTTTGGGCTCCTCAACCTGTCAGGAGGGAAGAATAAGCATGAAGAAGGCTTGGAAGAAAATGGAGAAAAAGAAAAGATGACCAGAATGAGATATAACTGACTGTATGAAAAGAAAGTAGGTTAAATACAGGAACAGAATAATGTTAAATTAAAAATTAGGCTATATCTGCTTCCATGGTAACAGCAGATGTAACACTGCTATCTCCTGCTGGCACTTTGAAACAATTAAGATAAGAGAAGAGGTATACCAACAATCCCCACTTCCCATTAGTCCTGCATTCATATCCATAACCATCACAAGCTCCTTTTGATGCAACCTGCTTGAATTTGTACATCCTGACCATTGGAGATTCAGCCTGTGCATAATGCACAAAGCTATTCCTGCGCTCAATGTAGGCTTAAGACAAAACAAAACTCATTTCTTACCCGATCAGCATCAGTGTTCAACTCCCCAAATTCGTCCATCTGGGTATCGGACAGAGACCGACACACTTCTTTGTAGAAGTCCTTAAAAAGCCCATTTTTCATGCAGAGCTGCAGTCCATTGACAGTCTGAGCCAAGGAAGCATTCTTGTAGGCTTTGTCAAAGTCCAGGCAGTCTATCTGGCTGGGCTTCTTGCTCTCCTTTTCACCCAATGCCAATTCTGTCAATAGGCCTATATCTCCCATCTGCCGTCTTCTTAGCACAGAGTCAGGTATAAGCCTACAAATCGTATGAATGAATCTTCATCCCCTGGTTTAAGTGCCAGCAAAAAAAAAAGTTGATTCATCGATGAAACGAAGGGATACATCTGTGTAAAACTAGGAGTGAAAGGCGGCAAGAAGGCGTTTTACTTTCAAATAAATATGGATGAGACCTCCATAGACATAGGCCTAACTTAGGGTCAAAACGTTTCAATGCCTCCCCAGATCATAACTTAGCCCTCCTTTGTATCCATCGGACCTAGGACTATGCTTTACTTGTTTGGTAGGTCTAACGTTACCCCAACAAAATACTAGATTCAGCACGTGGCGGCGTCATTGGCTGCGGACGGAGAAATGCATCAAGCAGGGTTGCCAGATAGGCTTGACTTATAATCCTACCGACCAGCAAACCAGAAAGCCGACTGACCCTGAAGAATCTTGGGGCCAGACGTAGGATCAAATCCGGAGGAGCTAGAGATAAATGGGTTTGTGATTCCCAAGGCCTTCTCCGACGACAGGGCCATGAAACGGTTGCGAAGTTGCGAAGTTCGTGCCGACGACAACAACACCGCTGCCGGTCTCGAACGGGATGTGGATGACGGTGCGTCTGCATCGTCGGTGCATTCCCGCTTTCGGGACCTGGAGGGCAGGGCTTGAGGGATGCTCGGCTGCGACTGAGATGAGTCGGAGAATTTTTTTTTTATGCTTGGGATTTTCCTCCGGGGAATCGGTCGTCGGTCGGTCAGTGAGCTTCAGGACGTTTCCCCTCCTAAAAGCAGAGGATAATCGTGCGACCTAAATCAACAGGATTAAGGAAATGATGCGCGTAATCGTGCCGATGGTGTTGGGAATGAGTAAGCAAGAAAAGCGCTGGTGCTCGGATCCGCCGGAGTTCGGTTTCTGCGCTGGGTTTGCGTGGAAACTGGAATCGACGAGGTAATATGAGCATCAGCGGGGAGGAAAACTCACGGTGGAAAATTCGATCTCCGCCGTTTTTCGTGAAAATGTTCTTCCATGATTATTTGCAGGATTTCTGGGTGGGGAGAAAACTGGACGATCGCCCATTTCGCATTCCCTCCTTGCTAAGGCGGTCGGGGAAAAAAAATGAGAGATCGCAATTAGCCGACTTGTGGGCCTGGCTAATGGGCAGCTTGTTTGCCGGATCTATCGGCAGTTCGTGCCAACTGCGGAGTGAAAAAACAATCGGGGTTCTCGGATGGGCTCCGTAATTAAAAGAAATTCCTGAATGGGCACGCTTTCGAGTCTTGGCTGGTTTTCTCTTTGTCTCAACGCGAAAGAACGCAGTTGTGAAATGGCATATGTTAAAGGGGAACAGCTCGCCCGTTAAAGCCGCATTGATTGCAGTAGCCCCATTTACTGGCATTGGAACGCGGCGTGGCACGGCAGCCGGGCGATCGATGAGGCACGGCGGTACCGTTTTCCCGCTTTCCGTCGCTGCGAATCCGCCCGGCTGCCAAGTAGAGCGCTGCACGGTCGGGCGTGGACTCTGCCCGGCAGTCGAATAGAATCCTAAGCGGGACGGAAATCCTGCACCGACGGCGGGCGGAACCGGGGAGGATGCAGCGGAGCGGATTCGATGTCCGAGGCCCGAACTCTCCCTCGAGCATGCACGGGAGACTACTGGAGGGCAGAAGTGCATATCGCGTGACTCCTGACTACTTAATTTCAGCACATGGTAAGGCCGTCTTCATGCAAGCGTCGTTTCCCCTTACTAGATACGACCACGTTCATGCTCGCAGCGAAACCACACGCTCGCTTTCGTCTATTGTGCTGTACTAGTCCCTCGAGGGCGAAATCCGCCTCTTGCACTTCAAATAACCTCATGAAGCGGGCGTGAATACCCTGTACCATGTTGGCCGTATAGTAAGCTCATATTGCGGGCTTCATAGCTTGCTAGTCAGGGTGCAAAAAATATTCACGTCGGAATGGACAATGCAGAAATAACGTGCTGTTCGACTCTTCCAGCGACTTCTCGGATTTTGATTGTACAAGTTACAATGTCTGCCAATACAATATCTATCCACGGCGTAACATGTACGACCGCTTTCACTCAGGGAAGTCTCCAGGATTGCAAAAATTTTACACAACAGACCCTGTTGGCAAAATAAGACAGTAACAGCTTCACCATGAGACTGTGTAGAAAGGTCTTGGTACAATAATAATGCACACTAACAACTGCTTCAATAATTTATTCTTTTTTTTTCCATTTTCAAAGGATTCTTCTCTCCTCATAGACAAGCACACCCAACATGGAATTTCTGGTATATTCTCTGTACAGAAGGGAAGAACAAGGGCAACATAAAGACCAGTTGTGATACTGGGCCCATCGAGGCAAAGATCAAGTCAGATCCAGACTCAGATTTCAGTTTTTTCTTTCTCCAAAATCAAATTCACAACAGAATCAGAGAGGAGCTCACATTGGGTAACTGATTTTTCCCAAACTAAAAAGTCCGATTCACGGTGCATTTCAACAGCCAATCCTGGTATAAAAATGACACGAATGGAGCTAGACAAAATCGGTCGAGTTTGACGAAAGCTGGTATTTCCCGGTTGGATCCCTCTGTAAAAAGGCATCAGTGTCAAAGAGCAAGGGAAAACTCAACAATATTCGAGGCCACCTCGTAGACGAGAAGATTTTAGGGCGTACACATTCAACTCAATCACCATGGACCCTGTTTTTTCCCATCAACAAAAAAAAGTGGCCAAGGAATATCCATAAATAAGGGGGAAGGTGGCCTCTCAGGTACGACAGACACTTGACGAGTGCTTCCAACAACCTTCTACCCCTAAAGATGCTAAATATTCTTGGTTTCTCACCAGAACAACAAAAGTCATGGCTAGAGTACCTTCCAATAGATTCTGGAAAGGAAAGCAGAAAGCTGTATAAAAGTACATAAAAACTGGGAGAGCGAAACTTCACAGTTAAATGCATAGCATGTTCCTTTGAAGTATGAATAAATATATTAGTTCTTATTCTATCTCTCTCTCTCTATCTATCTCTCTCAGACACTTTTTGTGCGAATAAGGGGATTTGCTTTTTCAACTATGGTAACTCAAGGCCGGACGATAGAAGGGAGTCCCTGTCGGAAAGACGTATGTCCTGGTGCATGACAATGTCCCTTGGCACAAGTGGTAACAGTCTCTGGGAACAATGAGACGATGACAGACTTCCATCACAGAGAACATAAGAAACCAAAGGCAGACGGAAAGGGAACGGGTGATCACAGCAAAAAAAAAGTTCATCCTCTTTGACACCACACACACTCTCTCTCTCACCAACATGTAACAATGGATGTAGAACATGACATACACCACTGGAATGAATCAACAAGGCAACTGATATGTACAAAAAGAAGACAAAAAGAATGGGAAGAACCTCCAATTATGCTTAAGGTGACAGACAAGAGAGAGAGAGAGAGAGAGGGGGATTTCTCTCCATCAGTCAGTCTCCTGCATCTTTGTACTTCCGGCAAGTCGATCGGTCACCTTGGAAGACAAAAATTATTCCTCACGCTTCCATAATCAAGTAATAGAATCTTGTATGTTTCACAACTTTGTCCACAAACACGACACCGGGTCCTCTTGCACACGTATTGCACACGTGACCCTGAATCGGGTCAGACCAGCAGTTCCCAAGTAAATGTTCCTAAGTTTAGGTTTCCCTGTGTGTGTGTTTGTGGGGTATTCTCAAATCACCAAGTGCACTTTGCTGCTATCACGCATCAGAAGATAGGGAATAAAGAAAGGATTTTAAATATATAACATTCATAATAATTATAGTTAATAATAATAATAATCCTAGGATGATGGGAACAATGGATATGAGTCTGTCAAATGATCAAGGAGGGGAGAGAGGGATGGAGGGAGGGCAACAGATTACTCGAGGCACGGACGGAACAAAGGTTGTAGTTCTCTGTCAGACTTGAGGATGGCAGGAGGTATGTGGTTGGTAGAAGTACGAGTGTCGGCAGGAGTGGATACACACTGAATCAGATCTCGAGTTCTTTCACTTTGGAGGTGACTACCTTGAGTGGGGTGGGAGGAGGTGTCATGAGTAGGCTGTCCCCTTCCCCACCGCCCCGGACATGATCGGAACAACCATTTGGGCCGTTCCCTCGCCACCCTTCATACCCCCGGTGACGAGGGGGGACTTCATACGAGTCCATGGATGAATCCTGAACGGGCGGACCTCGGTTGTACTGCGGGAGCAGCCACGGGCGCATGGAAGGTGGAGGGAAACGTCTGGAAGCAAATCGGCTCTTGCCATTGCGATAACCCTTGCCTCGGATCTCGTAGGATTCCCCACGTGGGTGTTGTGAGTAATACATGGCTGGAGGTGGCGGGCATTGAGACCAGGGCTGAGGAGGACCCATCGGACTTCCATAGGGATTCCCTGACATATACCATGTGTAGGTGCAAGGTGGTGGGGCAGAAGGGGCATATGTTTGGTCTTCAGCATCTGCTTCGTGCGGCGTGGGAGTATCTCGCTCTTGAGCCAGGATGTCCGAAACAGACACCACGGGAATCTCCTTGCACTTGACAGGATCGCATGCATCTCCTGATCGTTGGATAAGATAGGTCCTCTGCCTGTTGTTGTTGGCATCTTTCTCCTGCCTCCCCTGTCAACATGCCAGTTCCATTGCTCAACATGAAAGCCTAATCAGGTCCTTTTTCATTCCTCATATATGACAGGTTACACTAATGAAGTGTTTACTAAGCAATTTGGCTTCAGTTTGAAGCCAAATTGCTTAGTTTGACCAGAAAGCACTTATCTTTAATTTGTATTTTTGTCTCATATAAATATTTCATGACAACTCATTAAATGGCAATAAGGTTATCACTTACCATGTGGCATGCACCATACTTATTTGAATTGAATTGATTCATTTCAACAATGGAGTCTACCGAGCCATAAAAGGAAACTTCATAGGACAATTTTTACTTTAATGCAAACAGAGACAATTAAAACAACCAAGACAAAAAATATCACCCATCAAATTAAATGCAATCTTTTCATATGAACATCCAAGGGTTCTCTGTGAGACCTCACCTTTCCTGCTGGGTGTTCAGTGTTGCAGTTGGCTTTACTCTTGCCACTTGTGGGAGAATCAGAGATGCCAGAGGCAGTTCCATCATTTCCACCTCCTCCGCCACAACTTGGAGCAGGGGTTGAGCAACAGCTGCGAGAGTTGGGAGTACCTGGATTATCGCTGGTTTCACTGGCCACAGGTGTGGTTGACATGTATTCTCCTGTGCCTCCAACCATTCCTCCTCCTGACCACATGTACTGCAATGAAGAAAAGAGGAGCACTTAAAAAGAAGCCCATGCAGACTCTCACCAATTTCTTTTTCACGTATCCAACTTTTTCTTTGATATTAAGAGAAAGCCTCAATAAACAACATTTAAATTCAAACTATATGCCTTGTGAAATGGAAACATTTCTTACAGATGGCACACAATTGATAGATTTGCAATCCCATTTTTGTGCACATGTGCAGAAACCAGACTTACTTACACAAAGGAGAAGCAGGTTGATTTCAAGTTATCCAAAGTCCTAAATATTGTCCTTGCAAACTGGCACGACAGAGAGTGCAGAGTTTCAACAGCAAAATTTGTCAGCTTAATATTGAATTAAATGAAAGGAATGAATTGAAAAAGGGTTGAGACAGTTCTTGAAAATCCATGGATCAAATGACTTGTGATCAATAAAATAATCTTTTCACAGAGAAAATCCACTCAAATTTTTAAAATACCTTAGGATGTAGTTATTTCAGAATGAAGAGGAAGATATGCCACCAAAAATATGCATTACAGATAATAAAAAACAGAGCTGCCATGTATAAGACCATCTACTAATGACCTTGAAATAAGTCCAATAAATGTATATTGATCAATATAAGGTAGATCGAAACCTTATAGCACTGACAAAAAGCAAAAATCCACAAAAAGAGCAAGCATAATTGAAAAAATAAGGCCTCACTTTCTTTTATTTTCTACAGAGGTAATAGGAGCTGCCTGACTACAAATTGTGAAGTGTTGAAACCTGGTGCTCAGAGTGCCTTGATCTGAAAGCACCCTTAAATTATGTTCTTCGTGAGCTAAGAGATGAAGAGCAAACCAATTTTCAGCTACTCCAATACTTTCTCTCTGTTTGTGCAAGGGAAAAAAGGATACACACTTGAGTAAGACGTGCTTGGGCAAGGCCAGATAGAAGCCAATCTTCTCCATTCCACAACAGTAGAAGAGGTGCATTTTTTTTACTGAATGCATAGAGCAGTAACTAGGTATTTCAAATATAAAGAGAAACCTAGCCAAAAATTAAATCCTATTGGCCAGTCAACTTTTGCACAGAGGCCATAAAAGTATTAATGTAAAAAGTACATGTGAGTTGAATACACAGAGATTATGCAATAAGGTAGAATGGATTTCATACCTGAGTAAGACCAGCAAGACTGTCAAAAGAAATGCATACATCAGCAGCAGGAAGAATTTCTTAAAGTACATGCTTCTATTTTCTACAAAACACAGTGGCTCAAATAATTTCATAATAGGTCATACTAACTGATGAGGGACATAGGAAAACTACAGAACCCCCAGGGGAATGTCATCCATGGGTCCTCTGTCCATGCACACAAAATCATGGTGTCAAAAATAATGTCTAGGGCAAAGTTCTGATGTGAAAAGTGGTCATAATTCTTTGCGACGACACACAATACTAATACATGAACAGTAGGGTTCACCTGCTGCCCTTTCTTTTCCTTTATCCAACCCTCCCAAGTGACTAATCCTCATTCATTGGATTGATGAACAAAACAAACATCATTTTGACTCTTGATAAAAAAAAAAACTTATCACACAGATACAAATCTCACTTTAAGTGCAAGAATCCTGATGTATGAGATTTGTACATCAGAATACAAACTAATACAAAATCTTACTCATTCATTAGCTTCAAGCCTGCAAATGCAATTAACTCCATGCGGGACAAACATTTCTAGTGTGTCTCCTGCATAGCTAAACCCAAATGTTGGAAATTCTACTAGGGTTCCAAAGGAGATCTTAAATATGGATCAATCTATAGGAGGATAGAGCAGTCAAGACTCTGCACCATGGGCATGCTAACAAAGGGAGGCAGATTGGAATCAGAAGAGCCATTTCCCAATACCGAATGCGAATGAGGTGCCCAAAGAGAGAGACGCTAGAGGGAATGAAGAGGATAACTGGGTGTGATGTGGTAGGCTGTCAGGCACAAAGGGCCTGCCTCTGCTGGTCCTCCTGCATATGCTGTTGCCAGCTGCCCAGTCAAAATACCAACCAACATTCCCTTTCATTCCAAGAATCATAGCTGAGACATTGGGCTTGAAGGGAACAAAAAAAGGGGAAAGAGCACATGAATAATAGACTACCTGCGCATAGGGATTCTGAGCCCATCGCCATTGTGCACTGGTACCCCAGGCAGGTGGAGGATGCTAATAAAACAATAGAATGAATTAAAAGAATTAGGCATTGCAACAATCACTAAAAATGCTCAAGAAACAATGATGCTGACAATGTCTGCCTAGGCCGAAAGATGGTATGATCATTCACCTATTCCAATCTTTGGCAAATTTAATTGTGAAACTTGAAATTTTCCATTGTCAATTTTCATTACAGATTTTGCATCAAATTGAAGGATCAAATGAGAAAAGAAATATATGGAAAACCAGATCTTCAGAAACACTCATGAGAATTCAGCACAGTATTGAAGCCCTTACTGGTAGTGAATAAAAAAATTAATCAGAATATTCAAATACCTTAACCCTTTCACTGGCATCAGCTTAATCTTGTGTCGACATTCTCAAAACATTTGGATATCCCTGCCAGGGATGTTAAGTTTTTCAAAAGTACCTGGAACAAGATTGATGACCTAGCTCACCATTGCACCATGTGGGTAAGCATATGGCTGCCCTTGCTGCTGAAGGAAGATAGTTGGACCAGGTGGCTGACCATAAATGATAGCTGCTGGATGATAAGGGGCAGGGGCAGGAGGGGGTGGAGCGGGTGCAACCTGGGCTGAGGTATTCACAGAAGTCTCCCCTGACGTCCCAGTTGCAGGAGGGGGGGAAGTGGTGTATGCAGGAGGAGTGGTCCCTGTCCTGGAGGCCCCAGTAACATATGCATCTGCTGAGGGATTTGAGAACATGGCAACTCCATTCTGGAACGTGTAGGAGATTCCGTTTGGGCATATCAAGGCTCCTGGTGCCGATGGGATTCCCGCCAGAGGTTCCAGCATTCGAGAAAATGGTTGCTGGAGAGAAATGTAAGCACTTGATTCACTTACATGCATGAGGCTGAAACCTTAAATCAGCAAATGAAGCCCTTAGCATTCATTAATGACATCACATAATAATACATTAATAGTATAGTACCTGACCACTTAAGATTACTGTCAACTTTGTCATTTTGGATGGCCATCTCTCGGGGGTAACACCGGATTCCAGGTAGGGAAAGCTTAATATCAAGACTGTTGACCCAAGGTGATGCCCTCAGTTGATCAACCTCATGCAACACACCCCTTCCTCACATAATTCAGCTGTTTTAATATTGGGCTTTCTCTTCCTATATTCCTGCATTTACCCAAGGAAAGATGGTCATGACAGTCAACAGATCCTTCAGTGAACATGTACTATACTATTACGAATAATACAATGTAGAAACAATCACTGCAGGATGACAAGTAACAGCAGGTGGCCAACAATGACTCCATGCAATAATGTTCCTAATTCACCAACTAGAACCTGAACACAAAATTAAAAAAAAAGACAGTAAACCTTATATTTTATCTTCAGTTATACAAATGCAAGAATGAGGTTGAGGCTCAAGGTGGATTACTTAAGAATAGGAAATACAGATGTCACTCCAAAGGAAGTATGCTTTTGAAGAAGACTGTGGTATTAGAAACAGAACATTTTCATCCTGGAGGAATAGGGCACACTATTTTTAAATTGCTCCCAAAATGTTATGTTGTGACTCAAGTTACTGCTTGTGTGCTACATTTTTTACTTGAAACTTTTACATCATGGCATGCAGATTTTAAGCGGAACAATCCATAAAAAATTATATATTCATAATGCATTTCATTTCAGACTATAATATGTCATGAATTTGACCTATTCACTTATGCTAACATTTCTGAGGCAATGGATAACATGAACCTTATAATCAGTGTCAGGACCCACATAGCCAAACCAGGCTGGTGATTCCCATATAGCATTTAGCATTACTTCAATGAGAGATACAAATGAATCAATGAATGAGAAGCCTATATATGTCATGATGCTACAGGTCTTTCATAGGTATGGCCAAGGAATCCACCTGTAGTTGAGAAGGCAGCAATAAAGGTGAACAAGGACCATGAGACTCCTGGCAGAGAACCCACTACACTTAGCCATCGCAACCTTGGCCCACATCCAATTCCGATGAACAAGAAGAAACCCATCCCCATTTCTTTGCCAGCTTAGAGGAGCATCTTTCTAAACCCTACTCCCTTCTCTCGTTCTCCCCTTCACACATGGTGATTATTTTTGGCACTTCCAACAGTAGAGGTAGACTAAGACAAATCCAAGGTGATGGTTGTAGGCATGAAAAAGATTTGTCAAGAAGGAAGATGAGATATTTCAACCATATAATACAATTTAATGTTGCTGGAGCATATTTCACATGTTTATTTTTTTCATCACCCATTCAACTGGATATTAAATTTTAGGCAATAACTCCCAGTATACCCCATGTTCTAAGTACTATGAAATGAAAAATGGCAACATACCCAGTTGCAAGAAAAGCTCACCTGCTTCCGAATGGCATGAGCAATGTTGAGTTTCCTCTCTTTGAAAATGATGCAATCTCCCTGCAAAAGAAAAAAAACAACAAAACCTTTCATGCAGCTATGATGGTTAAAAATGTTTCCAAAAAGCATAATAAAAATGAAACTTCCTTCATCAATGCAATTGGAATGTTACAGCTCCATAACTGAACTTGACTGATTAGCTGCAAACTAATATTAAATCTTGCATTTTTACCTTCAAGATAAGGAACTCTTTTTACTCCATAGGCTCCATGGGCTCTTGAAGAATTGTTGACTAAAGGAGTTTCAGCAATCAGGCCCTAGCCTTCAACATTATCAGTCTTTCAACTGGCGCTTTCAACAGAAATCATTGTCCACACACAGGAATTCAAGGAAGAATTGCTATGCACTGCAAATGTAATTTTTGCATGAATCCTATCAGTTTCATTGCACACTATGTATGGCAGCAAGAAAAATCAAATTGATTTGTATAATATTCTCCCTCTGTATCAGATCTCTGTCACATTCAAAAATTTTAAATGAAAATTGTTTTTCAATGTATCCAATAAAAAAATGCAGTATCATTTGCAGTCAGATACTAAATATTTAGCACTAAGATTGGATCTAACCCCTTCTTGAAACTCCAGCAGAGGAACAATAATTCCTTCAAGGAAAAATGAGTGAAGTGGAGCAATGTCAACTTCTGAAACTCAGAAATGGAATGATCTAGGAGAATGGTACTAGTACATCATGGACAACTGGACCATTTAAATTCACTCGAGGTCATTGGTGTTTGTGTTCCAAGGCCTGGGAAGGAGTCCAGCCAAAGTTGAATGACTGGACTGGTGCATCTACAGATGACAGTGTGGTGCTTTGACTGAAACTTGTCTGCAAGGGGAAAGCTTGAATCTGGGTCAAGGAAATCCAGTCAGTCAGTCTCCTAGCATTCTTCTGACCCTTCGCATTTAGATGCCCTATCAGGTGTTACTATCACACCTGCATTCCTCAGTAGGAATATAGAACCTCATGTTCACAAAAAATTACCAGGAAAATTGCAATTTAATGCCATCTATTACTTTTTCCTTGCAACAAGGGATTCTTTACCTGAAAAATTTTTTTGTCAGAGATTATTCACTGCCAGAGATGTGGACTAATCTGTATCTTGGGCAGTGAATCAAGAAGCACTGTACAATATCAGGGGAATGGATTGAAAACCAGAGCATGACAAGAAAGAAACCAAGTCATCATAAAGGTGACAGAAAAAAAAAAGAAAAATAACCACTTGACATTTATTAACCCTATTATTACTATGAATAATTAGCATGATTTTTAGCTGGAGGCCGCTTGCAATCAAGAAATACATTTATAACTTCACATTGCATATACAGACCAAGACACTGCTACTCTTCAGAGGTCAAAGAACATACTGAAAATGTTCTTAACTACATGAACATACTAACCAGACACACCAAAAATTTCCCACTACAAAGACTTGAATGAAATGGCAAGTCTGATGAGCCTGATAAGTTTTTGTAGTTCCCGATCTAACATACATTAACACTATTAGTAGGAAATAGAGGCAGATTGGCAATATAAATTTTATTTCCCTAAAAAAAACCTTCCTTGAAGCAGTCAAAGAAATTGAATGTTGAGAAGTTTGCATGTAATTTCAACTCGCACTAACAAACAAAGCTGACGAGAGAAAAAAAAAACACACAATCTCTTCCTACCTCTCTTATGAGATTCTGCGCTTGCTCCTCGCTTTCAAAAGTGATGAACCCGTAACCCTTGGAGACACCAGCTCGGTCGAGGATGATTTTCGTTGCCCTCACAGTGCCAAACTTGGAGAAGAACTGTGCCATTTCAACCTCTGTCGTGTTCGGGGGGATGCCTCCGATGAAGACCCGGTTGGGGACCAGCGTCCCGAACTTGGGGGCATTGTGGCCGGTGATGCTGGAAGGTGACTCGGAGGATTCTCGCTGACTCGACCCGGACTGGAATTCAAGGGGAACGGTGAGACGATCGGCGGCATGACTGGCGAGGACATGGGGCAACGACAGGTTTAGAATTGAAATTGTCTTCAGCGGTAAAAAAAAAAATAAAATAAACGAATTCCTTGCAGCAGTTTCTATTGTCCCGAGATAAACACGAGACCAGTTACGCTACATGGCATTGTTCGTTCCATGGATACTAAGCATAGCCGGATTACAGGATTTAAATGCGCTGTAAGGCTAGCAATAGACCTACTCGCAAGCCATTGTTAATGTTGGCTCACGAGGTCTTCTTCGCTTACGCTATCGAGATTTGTCCCATAGGCATAATAAACAGGGCCCGAGCATTCAACTAGGCTTTCGAGTCACTTCGCCGATTTTTGAACCGACAACATCGAGAATATTTTCCACCGGTTACCTCATTCGTGCTTCCATTAGACCTAGAAACGAGGAAACACGCAAGGTCGACATAACTCAGGCTGTACCTTAGCGACGGCAACCACCGGAATCGGCCACCGACCCGGCACCTGCACCATCTGCCGGTTATCACATGGCCGACGCGGATGACGAAGTCGCAAACGAGGGGAGGGGGGAACACGTGCGCGAGTGAATGGCGACCCGGCGCCAGACCCCCTCATGTCGCAAGAAAAAATACATACGCCATTGATATCTGGGTAAAACAAAGGCATCGAGCAAAGGGCGAGGTTTCCGTCCGTTCCAAGAAAACACGGGTTTACATTAGATTCGATCTCTGCGGCTCTCACGAGAGCCTTTCGGCTCGACACCCGAGCCGAACCGGATGCGTCCATCCGATCCGACCGCCCCTCGCATTTCCGAGAAGACGGAGAGGCGAAGGGGCCGGGGATTTACACTTCCGACCCGAGATACGAGTTTCTTGCTTTCCTTCGACGAAAGATATCCGCATTCATAAGCTCGGGATTCATCCTTTCTCCGCGGCAGCGACGTCAATCGATGGCATCGAACCGCACATCCGCAAGAAAAGACGCTCGGTGCCTCACGAGCTCTCGCGGGAAAAACAAAAATCCATTTGACTATACAGAATATCGGATAGGCTTCTCCCCCGGCCCCTTCTTAGCCACTATCAGTTTTAGCCAATGTGTGAGATGAACGGCCAAACACCGCCATCGATAAAGCCCTTCACATAACATATACTCAAACATATGCGTGGGGGGACGACAAAGAGGGATCAACAGCAAAGACCGGTGTGACACCTTGAATCTTACCCAATCTTCCTCCGCAATTTTGGAAACGTGGCAACTCTGAGACGGTAGCATTCCAGTAAACACGGGCAGTAAGGAATCCAATTTCTCCGAGTGGACACAAGACAGGCACATGATCATTTTTAAGCCTTCCAATCAAGGACTATCTGCATGAAAATCTTGGAAATTCATCATGACTATTTGCCAAGAAAAACTTATTGTTTACAGAGCAAAAAAAAAGTGGTTGCGACGTCGGTGGCCAAGGGCCAATTTTTGCAAAACCATGAGTCATTTTTCATCAAATGGACCGGTGCCTTCTTTACCCTATTTCCACTCGTTTTTTTTTTCTTTCCGCAACGCTACGACCGATGGCGAGCGACGACAAACGAGTGGAAAGGGTGAATACATTACATTTTACATTATTTTATTTTACCAACGTATATTTTCAATAACTAAGTTTCAAAAAACAGAAAAATGAGTAATTTTTAGGGGAATTTTTTTTTTTATCCAATAAAGCACAGGTTGTTCCAAAATTACAAATAGAAATTACTATTAGATGAATACTAGAGCCAATTACTAACAGCTCATGCTAAAGCATAGGCATGTCTCAGCCTCCTCCCATGGTTGTGGGCTACAGCATGATGCCTCCTTAGGCAACTTTGTCAGCTAAAGGAATGGGGCTCTTGGTTTCCTTTGCTGACCACTGAATTTTCTCCAGATTCCTTATTTTCCATCAGTCTTATTTTGATATGGCATCAAACTTGCCAAAACATATTAAAATCAAGAACATAGAGGAGATATGGTCCAAAATTGAACTACCTAATTGTCTTGGATCTCTGTGAATGATAAACCACACTAGGGAACCGAGAAAATCTTGGAACGTGAATCATCTATTACTCATACGACAGAAAGGCCCCTCCCAGGACTTCTAAATTCCAGTTCAGGGAATGAGGTGTATTGATCAAGTCACATGACATTGCTTGCCAAGTGATCCCCCATTGAACAGGAAACACAATCAGATGTAGATGGCAATAGTCAGTCAGTTTATGCAATATTCCCAGGTTGGAATGCATCTGCCATGCTTGCTGAATTATGTGGTGCTGGTAGCTCACCCTCATCAGGCTGCATTAACTTGGTAAGGTTTCATCTGTACTCCACTTTCATTACAGTAGTGGATTCACATAATCCATTACTATAATGCAGTGAGACATGGAACACATGGTCCATATAGGAAGGCTATAACCTCTTCAGACCTCACTGGAAAATCTACTTGCCAAATACAGTGCCTAGGATCAAGGACAGAAAGAGGATAAAGGAGTGAAAAGTGACCCACGGATTCATCCAAAGGTAGCTCTGGATTTCTTCATGCTACTAAGATGAAGTCATCTAATGCCTTATCAACAGACATAGTGTAGTGCCACAACAGCAGTTGACACGAGTCCATGGTCTGCAATTTCCTCCACAAGAAAAAGTAGTGATGAGTGCATAAGTTACCCATTGCACCCATTACATGCACTAGAAAAGTTTCAACAATCCAAGCTTCTTCATCTCACACACGGTGAACAAAGCTGATATGGCATACCTAAGCATGTTAAACTAGCATTTTTTGTTGTATCCAATCATGCATTTCTCCTTTCACAGGCATAGGTCTCCATATCAGGAACTCAAGCATTGACCTGTTTAAAGTTTTGGCAATGTAGAAAGACAAAATCTGAGGTGCTCCTTGTAGAAACAGTTAGAACTGATATAAGGAAAGAAAGGAGCTGTTCCCCTTATATATAACCCCATGAAATAGCATCATGATATCATTATCATCATGAAGCAGCAGAATGAAAGCTTGCATTTTTTCCTACTACTCATATAAGTACATCTCAACACTTTGGGGATCTGAAAAATGTGCTGTGGTGTGCCTGTCAAGGTCATATTTGGAAAGATCAATAGCAATTTGAAGAAAATTAGTTCACCTGGAAACTTAGAATTTAATTTTCTGGACAAGGAAATTTGCAGATACAAAACAATGTCACTCATAAAAAAAAAAGCCCTTGAAATTCAGATCTGCTAGGGTGGAAATCAGCAAGGTCAAAGGTTTCCCCATTGCTGGGGAGGATCCTTTTTGAAACAGAATTACTTTCAACTCATGGCCTTATCAAGAAATATACTCAGTCACTAATAATGGGACAGGAGCACCAGTACAGGCCAAGCCTATGCTTATGGCAATGATCTTGGGTTGGTCCTACTTCAGTAATAATCCATATCAGTTTTCCATGAGTTCAAATAGCAGCATAGATCCAGCTAGAGAGCTGAGGGTGAAGATGGCATCCAAGCTGTGCCTTGTGGTTGTTATGAAGGCAAATAGGGCCTTTAGCTTCTTTGAGACCTTTCAATTCCCAAGAAATGAGTCAAGTCAATAATGAACCTACCAAAGCTACAAATTGGATTTCATCTTGAGTATGCTATCCAAACTCAATCTCTGAGACTTGGAAAGGGCATTATATTCAAAGGGAGAATTCAGCACAAATTACAATGATCATCAACAATCTCATTTGAAACACCTTTGAGCTGGTGGACTGTCAAGTCAAGAGGACTAGTTTGCTGGGGCAGATGAAATTTTTTCCTTTCCACAAGGAAATTATGATAGTGGGTTGGACTTAAGATTTAAGAATACTTAAGCGTTGAACCTAAGGCAGATGGAATCAGAAAATCATATCCTTTTTCACATAAGTCTATATAGCACCAATAGTATACCAGTGAAACAGAAGATCATTATGTCCAAGTCAGACAAGGCCCTAGCAATATGAAGATCCAAATATGAGCTGAATCAAAATTCAGGGCCAAGTTCATTTGCATTTACGCCTAAGCCTATGAAAGCAATTTTATTTTAGGCCAATTACATGTTATCGCTATTGAGTTTAGGTAAGCCTAAAGCCTACCAGCGACCCTCTCCGCACTTAAATAAGCCTAACCTAAGCCTTAAGAAACGATGTTTTGAGATGACCATGAAGTAGGTGAAGGATAAACAATAACTACTCCTAACCCTTACAAAAGGCGTATGTTAGACCAATACTGTTGGCCTAACGTTAAGCCACGTATATCATGTCGTCAACGATACGCAAAAGACTATCATAGGCCTAAACCTACTCAGCCCATGTTAGATTCGAGCCCTAAATGTAACAGGAAGATATTATGGCTAATTATAATAAGTAGAAGACATTTTTCTCTCTTCCGGATCGGGGAGAAACTCACCATTGGGCGAAGTAGGTCAACAGAAAGGATCTGAGATAGCGCTCCGTTCAGGGCTCGACCGAGCTTCCCAAAGCATCCGAAACGCAGAAGAAAACGAACACACACGGAGAGAGAAATGCAAAGAAGGAAAGACACAAGACTGCCCTAAGGCCCTGGACACATCGGCAAAGGCCAATGCAAGGCAAGGCGAGAGACTACCGAACGAAAGGAAAGCGACACACAAGCAACACTCATACAAGACTGCCCTTCCCCTGTCTGACTCGGGCTGGCTGGCTGGCTGGCTACGGGAATGGTTGAAGTGAGCTGACCCCAGATGGCAGCATCTCCCGCAGACTCGCCTGCACACATTCCTCCGCGTCGTCTGCTTCCCGTTACGACACTTGCATCCGTTCCTATTCAAGCAGAAAGAATACCCTACCTATATGCATACCTCTCGGTCGTCAAGATTATGATCTTATGATCATCCTTGTGCCTGTGCCGCGGGAAAGTCACTTTGGAATAAGGATTGTCAGCGTGACAGTCCAAAAAAAAAAAAACTTCCTTTGCCCCAAAATGTCCCAAACAAGGAGTGGTTTTCAAATCCGAAAAATAATCTTTCCCCTCACCCCATCCATGTTCCCTTGCCAATCGAAGATGCCCAAAGCAAGGTCACGATCGATCTCAGCGAAGTGTCGTCACTGCACACGGAGGGGCTAGCAAGGAAATTTCATGATTTTCAGTGCTCCTGCCAAGCACAAAAATGCCCTCACAAGAAGAAACGAAGAAGACGCCAGAAACCAAGTTTTCCTCCTCGGCACGAGTCTGCCGTGTCAGCTTCAAGGTCGGTATCTGTCATCTCCATCGGATCTGGCGCGTTGAGAGGCATGAATGCGAATTCTTTCGGCTCCTGACAAGTTGCTTTTTTTCGAAGACGTCTTTGACTTTTTCTCGTATTCGTCCTTCGAATGCGAAAATCAAAGTTCATGGAAGTTCCAGGTGTGCTAAATTGCAGGTCGAAGTATGACAACAGGTGTTTCGAGATTTTTGCGCGACGTTCTCGTTCGTTCCGGATCGAGAGAGACTCCCGGGATTTGGCAGGTTCGGCGCAGCACGCGTTCAAAACTGGATTTAGTAGTCTGGGAAATGGCGTAGAAGGATGCGAGGCTTCGTCGTTGCATACTAATTGAGGATCTCATTCTCCCCAAAAACCTTTGTGGAAAGAAACTCGACTCGATTGCATCGTGAACTCGGTTGACTTATGACATAAGAAGCAATTATAAATATATAATTATGTAAATGAATACATATCTTATTTATTTATATAAATGCGTGTAAAGGTGACTCGTTTTCCCGGGCCTTGACCGATTCGCGCGGCTGTGAAGTCGAGAGCTTCGCCTCAGGCGGCGGTAGATGGCTCTCGGGGCGGAGACCTGATTTTCGCGCTTGGGCGATCCGTTCCGTCGTCACCTGCGGCCGATTCGAGTTACGATTAATGCAGGGATTATGAGACGCTTCGGGGGTCGAGGCGAAAAACAGAAAATGACTTCTTGATTGTGGCTACCGCGAGTCGTTAAGCAGAAAAAAAGGGCATGCCGTCTTTCATGGGCGGATGACCGAAACAGGGGCCGCCGAAGGTGGTCGAGTCCTCGGATCGTCGAAGGTGGTCGTGTCCTCTCGTCTCGATGAAGAGGATTCGGGACTCCCGAATGAGATGGGGTGACGAAGAGGGGGGTCGCAATGTTCCACCCTGGATTAACGTGGGACCGGGTGGTTGCGTCGGAGAGTTTTGGCATCCGTATGGCTCCAAGTACTCATGGTTCATGGATTCACATTGAATTTGACACATTTTTAGCAAGCTTTTTATGGACAAGTACCAGCCACTTTACCATGTCGACACTCTACTAAGTCGACATCTGAATTAAATTTATTAGCCTTTTATTCTTTCTTTTACACGAGGAATTTCGTTTATTAACAGGAAATGGAATTTTGTTCGCAAGAGATTCCTCGATCTCATTCCCGCCGGCCTTTCATTGGAATTCTTTCCGGTTTCTCAGGCTTTCGTCGATAACATCTCCAATGGAATCCACTTCGCATTGTGGACACGCGCCTCGATATTCCTCCCAGGTCCTTCTGCAGTGACGTCATTAGTCTCGGGAGAAAAAGCGAAGAGCAGTTCCAGATTACACAAATTTTAGTTGGAAGACGAACTGAATAAAACCTTTTCAAAGAAAATTCCAAAGCACCCAAAAGTACAGACAAAACCACAAAATCAGGAGTACCGCGAGTTCCCATTATATGCTAACACAATCTCCGAAACACTGAATATGATCGGCATCACTGCATCGCCGAGCACAAGGTCGAATTTCAAGCGGAAATTTCCGCGAGGGCCAGCCGCAAGTACTCCATCGTCTTCGCGGCGTAGGCGTTCGCCTGGATCGGGGTCACGAAGGTCGTGTAGTAATTGAGGCAGTAGAAGAGCCGGTCGTCGAAGACGGTGGCTCTGTGGGTGAAGGGCGTGCCCATGTTGGCGGCGGAGACCCAGCGGAGGACCTCGGTGCAACGGAGGTTGGCGGGCGCGGTTCTCCGCGGGATCTGCACCACCGACGTTCCGAATTCGTTGATGGATTTGACGTCGCCGGCGAGACTCGCGAAGGTGGTTTCGGGGTCTCCCATGAGGCGGGAGTAGATCCGCATGTCTTGCAGGGGCTTTTTGGCGGCGAGGAAATTCCGGAACTGGAGGGAGAAGCGTTTGGCGTTATCCCAGATCTTTCCGTTGGAGGGGGGGATCCAGAGGGGGAGGTGGCAGTAGGTGATCTGCGAGCCGTAGATCGGATCTTCGAGGTCGCGGAAGTACTCCCTGAGGTTCACCTCGTGGGTCGTGACGAACGAGACGGCCTTGGGCGGCGCGTCGCCGTCGTGGACGATGGCGTTGAGGGCCATGGCCCCCGCGACCGCGACCAAAGGATGCAACCCCACCCTCCCGTCTTCGCAGGCCTTGAGCAGTCGCGTCGTGTCCTCGCGGGAGAGGCCGTCCTCGATGTACCGCGTCTCGTGGGTCAACTCGGCCGGCTGGGGGAACTTTCGCAGGTACGGGTTCGAGTGTCCCCAGAGGTATCCGAGGACGAGGCGCGCGGCTCGCATCCCGTCCCTCCACGTGACTTCCGTGTTCTCGCGTCCCAGATGCTCCTCCACGGAGCGGGGCATCTCCACCACGGTGGGTCGGGGCGAAGGCTCCGGCGGAGACCCCAGCCGATCGATCACGTGGAATCCGAATCGTATCCCCGTCTCGGTGTCGGCAATGGCCGCGTGAAAGGACACGATCAGGAGATACCTGTGCCCTTCCTCGTCCTTCCCGACGTCCAGAAACACGACCCGCCAGAGAGGACCCGTTTCCACGGGAAACTTCTCGTGGAGGGCCGTCGAGACGATCTTCCTCCGGTCTTCAGACCGAGAATCAGTCTTGATTTTTTCGTGCTTCACTTCCACCCGTACGTAGGACCTGGCGAACCATTTCCCCGTGGCCCTTCTGGCTATCCGGGTGTTCAACAGGACGTGTGACGCCTGGAGGCTTCGGACGACCTCGTCGACACGGCCCGCTTCCAGCGGGGTGGGGGCCACGAGGCCGAACGCGAACGCGTGGTTCAGATTCCCTTGAGAGTGACAGGCGTCTATGAAGCTTTCCGAGTTGCCCAGAGGGCGAAGATAGTCCATTCCACTCTCCATCGCTGCAAATCGGCAAACTCGCACGTTCAATTTACGCTTTGGCGTGACATTGCTCTAAGGGTCACTGAAATGGGTGTTAGTCAAGCTTCCTTACTTATTTTACGATCCAAGGGCATTAGATACCACTGTCATAAAAAAAAACAATATCTCTTAGATGAAGCGTGAATAGCATCCTGCCGTTTTCGTCCCGATAACACACTTTAGCTGCAAGACCGATTTTGCCTCATTCTGGCACGTCGTGTCAGTCACGGGAGACCGACACGGCAGCGAAAACGTTGAATAGCGTCCAATGCGCAATAAAACCGAGAACGCATTCATTAACAATTCCCACGAAAAGACACGGAAAACCCACCCAGTCGCGAAAGCCACCCAAAAACCCCGCCGACGCCTCAAGCACACTCGGCACGTGCCTCGACCTCACCTGCTGCCGTGCGATCCCCTCCGCGTCGTGCACCGACTCACGCACTCCTCCGCGTCCGGAGGGCAAAGGCCGACTGGGGAGATAAAGTGCGCCGTGAACAGGCGCGAGAGGCCGGGCCCCGACTAGCCTTTATCTCGTGACCTTGGAGACTGGCGGTGCGAGTTCAGGCTGGTTTCCCTCCGACCGAACAAAGGCCTGGCGGGAGCCCTTCCCTCTTCCTCATTAAATAATGGACAATAAATTATATTAAATAACTTTGAAACACGAGACACGTAGCGTCAAGCGAGTCATGGGACACCCATCACTTTCCCCCCATCCTCAAGATCCTCATCCACGTATCCACATCGATATAAAGATAACGCCGGACGCAGAACTTTCGCGATGCCCTCCGTCAAATCCGGAACGAATTACGGACGCTGCTGCCCCCGAAGCTGAAATACGCATTTCTCGTGCGAAAGTCGACATGTAATCTCTGAAGTGCGCTTTACTCACCAGGGCGAGGAGAGAGGATCTCCAACCTTCAACACGTGTAACTACTCCGTTGAAAATGAAGCCAAAAAAAAAACAGAGCGAGACTAGCCGATCGATATTCCGGAGAGTCTCGGCTCCTATTCCCGTTTAGAGCTCCTCTTGCTTCCCCCCCCTTGCCCCCTTCCCCCCCCCTTGCCCCCCCCCCCCCTCCTTTCTCGTGGGAAAGCGAGGAAAGCGGAGTTCACAGCTTCGCGATGGACCCAGTCCCCTTTTCCTAATATTTTTCCTCTTGCTTCGGAAAAGGAAAGAGATATGCTCTCAAGATAATTTTCCCGTTTCCTGGAAGAGGAGTCGCGCAGAAAAAAATCAGTGTCTTATAATAATAATAATAATAAACTGCCATGTTCAAGCTTTCATTGCCATTTCATTGCAATGCTCTCGAGAAATCTAAGGATATGGGATTTTAAGGATTAAGGATTTCAAGGATATAAATATCGCTTATAAATGGAGGACAAGTGCGAGTTTCATAAATAAAATACTTCCCCCTCCCCCTCGCGTAAACAAATTACCAAGAGAATGGCAAGAAATTAAACCCAATGCATTAAGCACTTTTACCCAAAGATTCTCTCTCGCAGTCACGAGAACACGAAAAGCCGATGCGCACTCGTAATGAAATTATTCGTCATGCTTTCCGTTCGGGAGAAACCCTTAATTATTTCTTCACTTCGAGAGAAGCATAAAAAATTACCTCCATCCCGTTATTCGTTGTTGAACGTGTCGAAAATGCAATAATATGCACTAATAACCGCATGCAATAATTTTATTCTCAATGAAATGCATTGGGCCCATGACTTTATTCCTCAATTTGTTTCTCGTTGCTGCTGCCACAAGTCAGACGGAGCCAAGTAAAAAAAAAAAAAAAAAAATTCGGGGCCATTTCATTTTTGCGTGGAACGTGAATTCGCGACCAGTTTCGCCTCGTGCGCCGCTAACTTTAACCATACTGAGGTCCTTAGGAGCAGACGGGAGACAATGCCATGTGCTCCCGTTGTCAACAGTGGGCTGCCTCGCTTCTCCATCTCGAAAACGCTTCGGTTTACGAAAAATTTCGCCGAACAAGATTCCTAGTCCAGAGTCTGACCTAAACAATAGTACAATTTCATATAGAAAGAGCTATGTCGGCTTTCGTTTGGGATTTACTTCTAGTCAAGGTAGTCTAGCCGAGACGACGAAGGAGCGCACGTCTGTACAATGCATTAATAATAATGCATCGAAAACTAAAATCTCAGTGATTGCGGGTGCGATATGTAGATTAAAATACCATGAAAATGCCATATGGCGCCATATAAGGTGTCCATCACCCTTACGTTCAGAGAAATTCGGATATAATCCTAATATGGCTTAACCCCTAAGCATGGTTTCGAAGGAAGAGCTCGGAGAGGCGGACAGATGTAACGCTAGATGGCGTGGGAGAGCATTTCCTAATCCTCGCAGATCTCACCGACAGAATTGCACTTCCGTTAAAGAGGTGGCGCGAAACGATGGACTCGGTCCCCATTCTGCTCCAGAGATGGCGTGGATCGCGGGAATCAGAGCTCCCTCCACAGAGACGGCACCGTTCGGACCAGCCACAGCAATCGAGTCAGAATCTCCAAGAAAGTGAAAACATGGGGACTCACATGGCGCGGGATGTTCTAGGTGTCCGAGCAGCAAGGGATACCAGAGCGGGAATGAGCAAGAGTTTCGAATTGCCAGGTCCTTTTATACCTTGGAAGCCTCGCCTCCAACCGAAAAACCTCCCTTCTCGAGATCCAATCTGCCTTCCGGCCCGTTTCCGTCAGCATTTTTATCTCGTCGTTTATCAATCGGCCTGGAAATCGCGATGTTTCGCTTGTCGTCCCCCCCTCCCCCCCATTTGTCTCTTGTCAAGAAGCATTCCCGCATGAAAATTAGCTCTGACGCTTTGTTACCGAGAAGAGAAACGAGATCATCCTGGCTGCAATACTTTCCATGCGGAGTCCTTAAAGGGGGTTTGCTCGCCCTCTTCGCGTCCATAAAGGTGATTTTCCTTTGGTGGTTTGGTGGTCATGTGTTTGTTTCGCAGTGGAAAAAGAAAACATTGAAATGAAGAACGGATTCTACGGTCTTATGGCGGTCGACCTCGTGCAAGTGACTCGAATTCGACGGGATTCATGAGACGAAATCGTCATCTCACACGAAATTCGCTTTCGGGAGAAAAGAAAAAATCCGTTTTCGTCCAGTCGAACTTTGCGCGCGCAGAAAGACGTCCAAAATGCCACTCTCTTCACAAGAAAGAAAAAAAAATAGTTGCAGGGATGATAAAAAAAAGTTTTCCCTCGCTCCTCCCTCATCCGCGACGAAAAGGAGGCTCCACCCCTTGAAGCTCCCCGCGACGCGTGCCCGCGACGCGTGCCCGCGCGATCCGGATCCCGCCAGGCCGGAGTCGACCGCCGATGTCTGCCGACAACCCTTCGCGCCGGAATCACCGGAAGGAAATCGCCGCCCGAGCAATTTCCAACATTTTCCCCCAAAGAATTGTCAGGACGGGAACCAAGAAATGCCAATTTCTGCTTTCTGGCGATCCTCAAAGAGCCCCAACGAATTGAAATTCGTATAAAACTTGCTGACGGCCTCAAATGATGCCAACTTCTTCGTGCAATTTGGCTTTATTATACGTTTTAGGTCCACAATAGAGCGGAAGGAATCCAAAAGTTCATTGCGAGCCGTTCTTTTTCCTTTATATTTACAGCTGCTTCGAGAGTGTCATATTTCCAGAGAGACGGACGGAACGAACGTCGGCTTTCATCGTGCAGATGACATCGAGGTGACAAAGTCCTTCTTCCCCGAGATGCAAACTTCCGGGAACGGTTTCGAATTCGTTTCGAATTGTTTCGAATTCGTTTCGAATTCGTTTGGAATCGAAAATATCTCGTCGAGGGGGGAGCACGGGAATTTGCACTAAAATAGAGGTCAGAGATGCGAATTTACGCACCGACACGATATCCTCGGCAGTTCGTTTCCCGCCGTGAGGTGCTTTAAACCGGTTTCCTCTGCCTGTCGCTCCGAAAGCAGCGCTGATGGCCTCGGTGCCGCAAAAGGCTAAATTTCAGCGCAATTTCGATCGAATCCACGCGTTTGCGTGGAATCCTTCTCACGGCTCGATGCGCGAAAGAAAAGTGCCTGGTGAACGCGTCGCACCGTTTCCTCCTTCGTGCGAGGCCTGCCAGGAGAAGCCGTTGGTTCGCTCTTAAAATTGCTTGTGCCCGGTGGCGGAACTTGGTAATTTGCCGCCAAAATAGTAAATTGTAAAGTGACTGTTACTGAGGACCCCGTACTCCAGCCCCCCCCCTTGCTAATTGTTATTTTCACGTGCACACACGTTTTACTGGAGAGTGACATTTATTAAATATTTCTGTTATTCAGGACTGATTCTCAGCACAAATAATGTAATAAAAAATCAATTCGAACAAACGACTGCAATCAAAATTCAGCCCTTCTTGATTCACTGACTGCAAAATCTTTAATAACTTTGCTGCAATCAAGTGACTGATCGTCACTGCCGTCTCTCAGCATTTGTCGGTAGCAGAGTGGTTTAGACGTTTAATGTCAGTCATAACTGTATTTCTTTTATTACCCCAGAAATGCCATTTGCGTCAGTTTTGCCACCCTTGGAACTGAGGGCAGCAAACGGGAAAAAATCGCAAAATCGCCAAAATGGGCATTTTGCCAGTGGGCGGACCCCCGCCACATAAGCGCCGAACCCAGGGGGGCAAAGGGGCACGTGACTCCCCAACTATATTATTGAGGGGGCAACGCCCCCCCAAGAATGGCAAAATTTCAACAAAGGCACATGGAAAATTGAAAACAAAATGCTGCTTCGCGAAAGAAATGAAAAGTATGATTTTCCTTTCTGTTTTGAGCTCCAACTGGGGGAGATCCCTTAGTCACCCCGTACGGGTATGGGGTGGAAGGGCCATGTCCAGCACCCCCCCCCCCC